TTCACATCGAAAATAATCAGGTAGCAGAATTTTCCTAGGTATATTTATAGAATTCAAAAGTTTAACTTCTCTACATAGATTTCTCCAATTTCGATCAATCTCTTCTGTTACAGGATCATCCCATGATAACTGTAATTTCCACAATTGCTGAAGGATCATTTTAGCGAGAATTACAAACGGAGCTATCCACCCCAATGGATCGAATAGTTTTGCTACGAATGACAAAATAATTCTTTTAGTCGGAACACTTTGATACTCTATTACACCGACATTACATTTGAATTCATCATTGTCCGGATGCCATTCCAATCCCAGAACTTTCAATGGTTTTGTCTTCTATTACACGATGAATATTGTCACTATCTGTGTTTGTTAAGCCAGAGGTTTTTTTAACAATGACGGTTCACTTGTCGACCATTTGTGAAGCTCAAAGCCACCACTTTTTAGCAGATGTTGCAATTCGTCTATCAATGCAATACCTTCCGAACTATCTTTTACACCAGTTAACATATCATCAACATAAAAATCTCTTAAAACTATATTCTTTGCCTTTGGAAAGTTCAATCCTTCATCAATCGCTAACTGACTCAAAACTTTGGTTGCAAGATATGGAGCAGCTGCAGTTCCATATGTAACTGTTTTCAAACGACAAACTTGTATTTGCTTATACGGGCTATCTCTCCATAATATTCTCTGAAAATCTCTATCTTTTTCATGAACCTTTATCTGTCTGTACATCATTTTAATATCAGCGGTTATTGCAATGTTATGAAGTCTAAATCTTAGTAAAATACAAATTAAGTCATCTTGTATTTTTGGGCCTATCATTAGTGTATCATTTAAAGAAACACCTGTGGTTGTTTTAGCGCTCGCATCGAAAACAACTCTCAATTTTGTTGTTAAGCTAGAGTCCTTCAACACGAAGTGATGTGGGATATAATAGTGTTTATTCTCTAATTCATAATCTGTGTCTGGCACTAATTCTACGTGTTCTAGTGAAAAGTACTCTTTCATAAACTGAATATACTGGTTGTAAATTTCTTTCATAGATAACAGCCTCTTCTCCAAGTATTGAAATCTTCTGTACGCCATTTCACGGGAGTCACCTAGAATATCTCTATTATGTTTGAATGGTAATGCAACTGAATAACGACCTGATGTGTCTCTAAAATGCGAGTTTTTAAAATGTTCTTCACAAAGTTTTTCTTCATTTGTTAAAGGTTGTACATTTGGAAACTTTTCTAACTCCCAGAAAGAATTTACTAACTCATCTGTGTTTGTATTCAAATGATTTACATATACTGGCTCAAAATTTGTAGATTCAAAATTTGTAGTACCCGAAATTATCCATCCCAACCTCGAATTTAGAGCAAATGGTAGATCAGGACCACGTTTGACAATTTCTCCCGTCATTAAATGCAGAAATACATTTACTCCAAATAAAATGTCAACTGGTTGTGACTTGTAAAATAATGGATCAGCTAATTGTAAATCACTGAAGTTATCGAAGATGATTGATGGCAAAGATACATAGGGAATGTTATCTGTCACCTTGTCCAGTACAAACGCTGATGTTGATACACGAATATCACTTTTAAAATGAGAAGTGAATACTAAATCGACTTCCCCATTACTTATAGTATTAAATTCTCCTAGACATGATACAGAAATGGAATTATCTTTCACTCGTAATCCTAATTTCTTCACACAATCCCTTGAAATAAATGATCTCTGAGATCCAGTGTCACATAAACATCTACACTTCACACAAATTGTTGCTTAGAATTTTGAACTTTTATTAAAGCAGTACACAATAAAATGTGACTGGTTTGATTACCTTTTGCATTCGAATCATAATGAGAGGCACAAACTGTGGCTGAAACGTCCTTAGGACTCGTTAATTCATCTCTTTTAATGATAGATTGCGTAGGCGGAGATATACTGTTTAACTGAGTTTTATTCTTTGAATTATTTACAATGTGCAAAATACTGTGATGCTTCTTAAAGCAATGTTGACATGTATTTAAACTCTTGCATTTTTTGAGCAAGTGCATATTAGATAAACAATTAAAACAGTAACGATTAGATTTTACAAATTCTATCCTTTGCTGAACCGATAAATTTAGAAATTTCGAACATTTGGCTAAACTATGATCTTCTTTACAATAACCACAACCCAAAGTAGCAACCAGAACATTATTCTTATTTTGAAACACAGATTTAGGTACCTTATTACTTGTTGATTTGCTATTTTGAAGTGTTCTTGCATAGTTTTTTAGGAATTCAATTAAAGTCGTAAGTTTTGGAATTTCATTAGATTTTAACTGACGTTCCCACCATAATTTTGTAGAAGGGTCTAATTTTTGCAAAATTAAATAAGTCATTAAAGTGTCACCAAAATTATCAATGGGTTTGATTCAATACTTCTAAAGAACGAATTACTTCATTAATATTGTCAACTAAATTTAAAATAGCAAATGCTGATTCATTTTGAATAGTTGGTAAACTTAAAAAAACGTTTAATATATGCAAAAATTTGTTCTCTCTTATTTGAATATCTTTCGTCTAACAGATTCCATGCTATTTCAAAATTACAATCCGAAATTTGAATGGTTTTTGAATAATGCGATATGCTTCACCTTTCAACGAAGCCTTCAAATACTGCAATTTTTGAGCATTAGATAAATTTGTATTATTTCTTACACAAGCACTGAAAAGATCTTTTAAAAGCTATCCATTCTGTAATATTACCACCAAAAGTCGGTAATGTTAACTTGGGTAATTTAATATTGTCAAGAACCTGTTCTGAAATTACACTATTAGAATTATTTTTATTATTTTGATTTTTTAATATTTTTTCACCTTTAAATTTCCACAAATAAATTTTATCTGTGTACTCCTGAACATTATCTATTTCGTTTTCTAATTCTTTAGTATCTGTAATTAAACTTTCGATTTCAGAATCAAGCTTCCTTAACTCAGTTTCTTTTTGTTTCAATAATTCGACACATTCCTCTAGTTCTATTAAATTAATTTCATCTGCAGTTAAAATAGTTTCAATTTTCTTTACATAATTAGTAACACTCCTGCGTAAGACCGCTCTTTTTGTTTTAAAAGTTATAAGTTCACTCATAATTGATCAATTCAAAAACAGAAATTGTTCTTAAATCACTTAACACTATTATTAAAATGAAATCGAATTCTATGTTGTATTACAACATTGTTCTTAAAATTTAAACAACAAATTAAACGAATTTTTGTTCAAAATCCACTTACCTCACAAAGTGGATAATTTTCACAAACCATATGCATATTTGCGTTGTTAGAATACACTTAGAACAGTCACTATCTTCACTAGCTCTCCGGCTAGACTTTTGACCAACAATATGTTTTCTATTAAACTTAATATGTTTCACAAACAATAATCAATCAACAAATGGACTGTATTCCTACACTTTTATTTTATTACACTTGTCAGCGATGCGAAATAATTGATACAAAATAAGCGAGCCATTCTACATGGCTGTCACAAACACAATTCTATCAATCAATTATCTTGTTGCCACACATAAAGTTCAAAACTAAAAGAAGAAAAACAAAAGGAATTTACGCTGTTTGCAACAATAAAATGAAGCAAACGATACTCACATAAACATTTCTATAAAAAAGGGATATTTGGAATGTACCACAGGAGAATCATCTCCTTTTTTTTTACCAACTTTTCCGTTTACTTTAGAAGACTAGTCATAAGAAATATTGTGGGTTTACCAATCGGTTCTCAAGGAAGTTACAGAACAAATCTTTAACATTAGGCAAAATTTGGAAAAAACTAATGAATATTGTATTGCAACGCACCACCTTTTTGTCGATTTTAGGACTGCCTACGATTCAGTAAACAGAAAATATTTAATTGAAGCTATGAGAGAATTTGCAATACCTGAAAAACTTATAAATTTGGTTACCATTACTCTTACTGAGAAAAAACTTAGGGTTAAAAATCCAGAATAATCTTTCTGAGCCTATTGTTGTTTTAAATAATTAGCATCCGACATAAGCATTGCTTTTCATTGATAAATTATTTGAACATGCATTTTCCCGAAGATTATGAAAAAGAAAATTAGATTAGAAATCCGTTTTATTTAAATGTACCTAAAATTTCATGTTGTGAAGAGTGATTGATAGAAAATTTCCTGTGATCGAATTCTGACTGAGTATTTCAATAATAACACCCTTGTTAGCTTTTGGCATTTTGGCTGAACCGAGAAAAAGACTTTAAAGGCACTTCAAATAAAGCTATTAAAGTTTTATTGCCTTTTTCCACAACATATTTGTATGAACAAGGATGTTGTTCCATGTTATATTTGAAAAATAAATATAGAACAAAATTAAAGGTGGATCATAATTTACGGTTAAAACTAAGTGAAATAATACCATATATAAATAAATAGATCTCTCATAATGAGGCCCAAACTTCACACTAGATTTTAGAATTAAAGTTTTATAACTTAAGTTTTAATAATTAAAATGGTAACCAATTTTTAATCTAATATTTTTATGTGTGTATGTTTAATTCAAATAGCCAATAGGTTGTGCAAATTGCAAAATATATTTCTTTTTTAATATTTCTATTGAGAAATTGAAAAATAATCACTGTAAAACGTAGAGGTGGTATTAAAGTCTTTCAATTTTTGTTTAGATGATACACGTTAGTCAAAAGGTTGAGAACCTCTGATCTAGAGTAAAAACATTTTTTTCCGCAATTCAATTTCGTAATCTCATTACTAGTTACGTGCGTCAACGATCCATGCCCCCCAAAAATGTGTCGTCCGAGGCGGACGGCCCTCTCATGTTACATCACAGACATTGGGTACCAAAATAACAATTGAGGGAGGCTTCTAGTTAATTAAATACTTCTGACAACCCCTTTTTAAATATTATCTTACCGTGAAGGCAAGTTATCGCCTTTAGTTTAAACTGACTGTAGAATAAAGAGACACTCAAAACGTGAAATATTAACTTTATTTTCTCCCTGCTGAGGAGATGAGGGTATAACTTAAGTACAAATACAAAATTTAAATATATATGCGACAACAACATAGCGGCAAGTATTATAAACTTTATTATCGTGTTTAGGAAATCTCACATGAATCAATAAAATAAATACACAGTTGATGGACTACACACAAATATATAAACAGGATGCAAAACTATGAAAGCATTTTTGACAATAACTCTGGCATTTTCCTCGATACAAGCTGCAACGAAGAGAAGAAGTTGTGGTATCGGTCGTAGAATTTTCTTGTACCAATTTGGCATACATGTTACTTCCTCCATGTTGCAGATCATGTATTTGGATAGCGTGATTTCGCTCAGAAGACAGATCAAGTAGTATTGTCATTACAAGGCTCTAAACTGCCAAAGCAGAAAGCAGTTTTTCCCAGAGAAGCAAATGATGCTGTTTCTAATAACATATTTCCGAAATCTCATTTTTTATTCCGTTTTTTTTTTAATATTTACAAGTGAATAAAAATGCTCTTTAAAGAAGTTTAGCATTTGCTCAAGGAGGAGATAACTACATAGAATAATGTATTAAAGACCAGAAAAAAAAGCTCAGGAAAAAGCTTTGATGTGAACGAGCTTCAAAGTGATGTGATTCATTTATGAGGAGATGAAATAATTCGTTATTTCAAAAGTCTTTAGGTTGATATTTGAGGAAAATAAGTTTGTACAGTTTTTACAGTCTTGTACAGCACAGAAAAAATCGGTACTCGCTGTTTATTTGAAAGTAGTGATTTATTTGTCAAAGAATTGTTGCTACGATAAACACAGCAGACATTTTAGTATTTGAAGTGCAGTTTGGAATATGTGGTCTAACGAAGGAACCTGTTCCACGTCCCATCTCTGTTAGAATGCACATTAAATATATTTCGACTTTTGCTGTGTTTATTGTGGCAATAACGATTTGATAGTGTTGGGCTATTTCTAACGAAACAACAGCTAGTAAATTTTTATTTGTGCTGACTTTAACCAATTTTTGTTTATTTTACGTGATAATTAAATAGTGCTGCAACTCTCAGCAACGATTTGCACATTTTATTCTATAACTGCTTTTAAATGTAAGTTTGAGGAAAGCATATGTAATCAACATTGTTAAAATTCACCCTATTTTTTTCTACTAATGACCAGGACTTTGACGAAAATTCAAAAAATTCAACAATTAACTCACTGGGAACTCGGATATATCTAAATAAATGATAAACGAATTTGTCTTTTAAAAATCAGTTTGTCTCGCAGCTTATTGTGAAACTTCAAGAAAAGTGTCCAACGGCCTTAGACGCATCATCACTTTTAGCAAATATTGCGGAGAAAAAAATCATCAAGTTGAAATTTTGTAATTCCTTAGATCAGCTCTTAAAAAAAAATTCGCGATAATGTAACTTACTAATGAGCCTTGTAATTACAATACCATTGTAAAAATACAAATAAAAACTTAAATTGTCTACCAGCAGACAAGACACGTCGATGGAATGAGATTATGAGTTAGAAATGCGTTTCGTTTAACAAATATGGTTTCTGAAGAGGATCGACGTACTATCCGAAACGATGGATCACAGTATCTATCCAGCTTCTGTATTTCGCCATATTGACATATATTCCTGGAACGCCTGGTTGTCCACAACCAATGCCCCAGGACACCAGACCGGCGACTTTCCATGTTCCTCCATGTTCGCAAACCAATGGACTGCCTCCATCACCCTACAAAAAACAGATCATAGATATACTGCCATATATCTAGAAACAATCACTGGTAAACAGATCGCAGAAAGTGAGTACAATTTTTAAAATAAGGAAATATGTTTAAAGGTTAAGGATAACTCAAATTTCAGTTCTTTCATTTTTGAAATTTTAGCAAAAATATTTTATGTATGGAGCACATTCAATTAAACAATTCATAATCAGTAAAAGGTTAATAGTTCTGCCAAACGGAAAAGCATAAATTTAATAAATAAGAGAACAGGTTGTCATTACTTATTCTCACGTTTTTTTCCTGCTTGAAAAGTTTTCGGCACTTGAATACCTTTAGTTTCAGTTAAATAAGTTATTTAGTGGTTTATTCAACATATTAGATTTATTTTAAATAAATGATAATCTAAAAATTTGATATTTAAGTATCATAAGTTTGAATTACAAGTGAAACGATCAGAAATTTTTTGCAGATACCAACCGTAGATTTCAGACAGAAAATAAATATAATTTGGAATTTTTACTTTTTCGTTATTATTATTACTGTTTACGTATGTTTTGATAAATATTTATAGCAAATAATATTTAGTTTTGTTAACAAAAATCATTTCTAAAAGAAAAAGAAAAGAAAAAATTCTGCCCATCAACTGCTTTCTGATCGCGCATTCGGTCTTCACGCAATTTCAGTTTGAGACCACTCGTCTTTGGGATTTTTACGAGAGAAGAAATCTCCTCGATTGATTGTTAGATACTGCTTTGCTTGGACAGCTCGATGAGGGGTATGTGTTATAAACATGAAACGATATTTAGATGTATCCCTCTTAAATAGTTAGACATACCATTTAAGAATGACAGTGCTATTCTGTGCTATTTCGGACCTTCATTATGTCTAGAAGATTGTTTGAAAGTCCATCATTACTCTGATCCTCACTAGAATCAATATCATATCAGTAATAATGACACTTAACATATCAGTAATAATGACACTTAACATATCAGTAATAATGACAGTAATAAATATAAATATTTTCTTGAGTATTTCGGTTCGCCTCATAAGTATAGTAGTTAACGTTATTGCTGCCTTATTGTTGGTATTTGGTTCGAATCCCGGAGAAGGCTTAGATATTTGTAAGCATATGTTGGCTTGGATATTGAAGCGTCTTTACGTTATGGAGGCACTTAAAATGCACTGAGATCTAAAAATGTCCTCGCAGACGGCTGCGTGGGAAAAGAACCAATTTCCTTGAAAGGATTCTCTTTCAAAATAAGAAAGTAGCTCAAGTTCTACTGTCGCCTATACAATTCCCAAGGTGCATGTCGTCTAACAGCTGGTGGCAGAAAGATATTTTCTTGAGTCGTTAAAATACGTAAGCCGTCCACAGAAACATTTTCATCATCTTGGAACAGCCGCTAAATTCTAGAAATACACTTCAAGAGACGTGAATATTTTGGGACATTTCTTCAGAATATGGTCAGCTTTCTGCGGACCAATGATTTTTATTGTGCTTAACATCATCCGTGAAATTTCATTTAGCCGCATTCATTTAGTACTTAGCACTGTAGGATGATTTAAATGTATGAATCTTCTGTTCCGCAGCACTGAAATGTGTTTTAATAGCTTTCAATGTCATGGATTTCATATTCAGCGCAATCAATAGCCTTCTGCGGAAATAAATGGTTCTTGACCATTCCAAAAGAGATATGGAATAGTTTTCATGGTGGATCTCTTTTCGTAATGTAACATTTCTTTGTAGTTCATAATTTTTTATATCGTATTAGTAAATACAGTATACGAGGAAGTTCAAGAGGGAAGAAATTTTGGTGCATTCCTGTTCAAGAGTCCTTTTTCGCAACCACTGGTCTTAGACATAATATTTTCAATTATCCAATTACGAAAATATTTTAAACGAAGAAAGTATTGATGTTTCGCCGTTTTTAAAATTAAAAAAGAAAAATCAGTTTTTGTAAAAACTGCTTATCTAAATTTTTATGTATTTCCCTTATCACTGTACATTTATTTAGAAAAATTATATACACTTTATAAAAAATAAAGAACAAAAGTTTGATTCCTATATCACAAAAACTGACCAAGTTATTTCATTTTAAAATTGGTTATCATATTCAGGGCAAGAAGACAAGTGGAAGAGAGAAATATCGTACGTAACTAAAAATAAAATAGCAATTTAGAAAAACTGCTTCTAATATAAACAGATTTATTTAAGAACATTTCTGTGCAGATGACGTGAAAAGTATTGATCAGTACGAAGGTTTTATAAAACTGGGTCTTATCCACAAGATTTCGCAGAATGTGTGTTCCGGAAAATACTTGCAGGATCACACACAGCCAATTCGCAACATTATTTGCATAAATTAAAAAGAAAAAACTTTTTTGTATGATAATTAGATTATGATTCTAAAGTAATAAAACTTTGAGAATATTAATAACGTATTTTTAGAGTTCGGAAATTAAAAATTACATGTATGAAATATCTTTCAGTATACCTATTAATTTAACCTCCTATTATTCTAATTTATGCATTAACCTATCCCTTAAGGCATGTCGAAAATAATGTCAAATGTTCCAAATTTGCAATTAAATTATTTTAGTCAATTTTAGGCGTACGGTAACCACGCTTTATATATATAAATATATACAAAGTATAAAATTATATATACATGAGTGCAATTTTTTGTTGAATAGAGGTATAGGGATCGCGGGCCGGTATAAAAAGCTAAATTTCCTAATTTTTGCAAAATTTTTTCTTTTTTAAATTGAAAAATGCCAAAACATGAATATTTCAGTCATTTAAAATACTTTACGTTATTTAAAACAAATTCTACGATCAGCGGTTGCGAGCACTACAGCCGAGTACTGACTTGGTGAACACGAAGTTTATTACTTCGGTTCCCATTTTACATTCATTATCTGTGCTTCTGTTCTGAAAGACCGAAGACCATACGTATTGAATAAATACAAAGGAAAACACAATTCAAAATCTAATCCATTTGCACACTGAAAGCACCAACAAGTGGTGGTAATGATGCAAAATAAAATTTTAAAATAAGACATTTATGGGACGAATTTTAACTGTATTACTTTTTAATTTATGTTGCTCTTTATTAACTACTATACTATATACACTGAAAATATACGACTAGTTGAAAATCCTCTCAAATGTTTTGCTAGTAGGGAAACAGGAACCTTTTCCCTGAATGGATTCTCTTTCAAAATTGGGAAGGAATTGGACAAAGTCCTATTGTCACCTATACAGTGCCCGCCATATAATTCTTTATATAGAAACCGAATATCGTTACTTTGCTTTAACTTTATTTAATTGAATTCTTCATGGAATTTTTCTGACTACTCAAGTGAATGTAATAACAGTATCGACATTCTTAATTGTCATAATGATACAACAGCTTTCTTACTGTGCATGCGTCTTTGCCGGGTTCACCGCCACCGCATAAGAAACCAGGATGCAAGTTGTAACTGCGGCCAAGACGTGTCTGTTTCAGCCTATGTTCGCAGTCCCTATGACTTAGAATTGGAATATCTACTTCCTTCAGAACGCTTTGATATTCTCCTTGCTCTCCTGAAATTCGAAAAAAATATAAATATTTTTATTGTTGTTTGAAAAATTACATTTAGATATACAATAAAAATGTATACAAAAGTATTTACATTTTCATTAATAAACTGAGAGATTTAAAAGCAATGTGTTGATAATGTAAGCAGAGAGTAAGATATTTGTCTTTCAAATTTAATCAACGAACTCGGCGATTAAAAAGAAATATACTGCCACTGTCATAAATAAAATAACGTTATGTACATCACGCCAATGTGATGCGATTGAGCAAAGCTTACGATATTTCATTTTTCTTGCAAATTTAAATCCGTGTAATATTTATTAACATACTAAACGAAGATCATGTGCGTTTGCTAATAGTATAGTGAGTACTTATTTTGCAAGTTGTGTAACTCGTGGGTTTTTTTTTTTTTTTTTTTTTTATTTTTTTATTTTTTTTTTTTTTTTTTACCTTAACCTCAGATTTCTGCCATTAAGTATAACTAGAAAGGCAGTTAGAATGTTTTTTTTTTTTTTTTAAATTTTTGCCCTTATAAATAATAGATAACAGGGATATGGAAATAAGTTATTCGTTTGATGAATCTATCAATAGAAGAAGAAATATCAATAGAAGATGTGAATAGAAGCAATCTAATAACACAACCGAATGCGTACCACCGGTAGTACGCGCCGCCCGATAAGACAGACTAGTGCGGGCCACCGGTGGCCCGCCCCGGCGTGAATGTGTTAAACATCAAGAAGTACTCTAATTTTAATTAAGGTAAAATAACACGCCAAACAAATACTACACAAAACATTTTTCACAAAAATCTATACAGATTTGCACAGGACTTTCGGTGGTTTTACCGAGCCATCATCTTCAGCTGTCAAAGTGCAAATGAAAGATGATAAATAAAATATAGTGATAAGATTATCTTAATCTCGTTCATTCGCACTTTGACAGCTGAGGATGATAGTTCGGTAAAATAATCGAAACTAGTCCTGTAAACATTTGTAGACCGCGATTCCAAGAAAAGCACAAGTACCGAGCTAATCCTCTTTTTTTTTTTTTTTTTTTTTTTTTTTTTTTTAACCATTAGTATTACTCTAAGACGGCACCCTGTCGTCTTCACATAAAAATTTAAATGCTCTTAACGGACGTCCTCTTCCTAACTATTACACCTGAATCTTGCTATATGCAATGGAGTAGAGACAAGCACTTCCTGGAACTTCAGAATAGTGTATATTCTTGTTCAAAGAAATAAATTCAGTTCTTCATCTGTATTATTATTAATTTGTTAACTGGACTTTAAAATCTTTACATACTTTTTTTTTATAATAATTATTTTAGGTAGCTGATCAAGCAGGCGGTTAGTATTGAAAAAAAATGAAATAAATATTTATGAAAAAGCAAAAATTCTTTTATTTACAATTCATTTTAGTGCAAATCTCAACCACTTACACTTTTGATTTAAATTTTATAAGCTTAGGAACTTTTATCTGTCCTTTGTACAGCTACATACTCGTACATAAATATAAAAAGAGAATGCGTGGCAGCAAACTGTTATTTTAATCTAAAAAGCAAAATAATTTTTCTTACCGAAAGCGTTCTTTCCCCAACCGGTGACCCAACACCTTAGGTTGTCGAACCTCTCGTTAAGCTCTGGAAGACAAGCTGGTGAAATGTGTGGTAAACTGGGATCGACGGGAGACTCGAGACGGAGAAGTGCCAAATCGTTCTGGAGGTTGCCAGGGTAGAAGTCGGGATGGACGACGACTTCTACAACAAATTTCTCGACGTAAGGATAAAACTCGTCATCTCTGTGGACATCCCAGTCTCCTAAACGAACCTTTAGTTCTTCGGCGTGATGTCTGCAAAAAAAGCAAGCAACCTTATTTGTATGCAAGAGTATCTTCAAATCGAGAATATAGTAACTTCTACCTTATCTCCTTTGGGCACAATATTCTTACTTTTCGCCAGTACCAAGATTTTAACGTTAAGTTCTTAACTTCTTGCCAAGGTTTAGCACTTAAACTTTTTACAGTGTTACAAGGGCTTTTATCTCATTCACTGTTTTTTTATTATTATTACTATTTTATTTTTATTTAAAAGTTTCAAAGCATACCGATAACACAAATCTTTTGAATTGAATCATCACTGACAAATGGTAGCTTCAAAGTAGTTTAGTGGCGTACGTGGAGGATTCTAGAAATAACCAATGGCGTAGCCCTTCAGTCTAACCTAAATAACCATATTCTTCATTTTAATAAGCCGAGGATCAAGATTGGCTATATGCATATCACCAGGCATTGAAAATTCAGCCGCCCCAACAAGCTTCTCTCTTGCTGGTCTGAATATAGTTTCAGGATGTTAAAAAAAAAATATCTGTTGGATATTAGATGTAAGGTAGATCTCGAATGAGTTTGCACAGTTTAGGATATGTCATGCCTTTAAACAAAAATGCATGCGAAGAACATTTCAACTCCAAAATGCTGTTCTGTGCTTTGTTAAGTATCTTTTAGGGGGGGGAAAGAAGGGTCCGAAATATGCGATATTGGTTCTAAAATGATATATATTGCATATAGATGCATACATCCTAGAGCAGTGATTTTTCAAGGGTGCCCAACGAAGTTGCTTATTTACACCGTGAAGGAAATAAATATATTTTTATTATATTAAAAGTATTAATTATAAAAAAATGAATAAAATTTAATAATTATATATTCAAATTTGAAAAATACTTTGTTATATACGTATTAGTTACAGTTGCTGTTTTGTTTGATATATTATTTCTGTAATTTTACATATCAAATTTTCACAGAAAAAAAATATTATAAGTTTCCTGTAATTTAATAGCTTGAAACGAATTCTTTAAGAGCAACAAAGTATTCTTGAATCCCTGTTTATATTTTATGCAGAAGAATTCTTGAGTTTAATTAATTTAACTGAATGTAGAAGCTTAGAATGTAAAGTGAATTATTATTTTCTTCGACAATCGAATATCCGATTACTCGAAGTTTTCCGCTCTACGTTAAGTATGAATTTATTTCTATTTTATTCATTTATTTCATGAATTATTAATGGCATAACGTTAACTAATTTTCGACAGGTCGGAACACTAAATGAAATCTTTTTTTTTTTTTTTTTTTTTTTTTTTTTTTTTTTTTTTTTTTTTTTTTTTTTTTTTTTTTTTTTTTTTTTTTTTTTTTTTTTTTTTTTTTTTTTTTTTTTTTTTTTGAAAAAATAAGTGTTCTGTATGTATAAACAAAATTTTGTTCTATATAAATCTGTGCTTTGTATTTATGAGCAGATATGAAATCAGGCATACTAATTTTGCATTTTTCTGTGCTAAATATGGGAATTAAATCTTTCAAATATGTAAAAATTTATGTATGTATGTAAAATGTATTTCTACAACTGTAGTTCACTTATTAAGCATTACTCGCACTTAGGAAGGATAATTTTAAATTTGAGTAATACTTACTTTTTCAAGCAATGCGCTGCTGTTGCCACCCAGTTTTGAGAAATGAGAGTACCACCACAAACAAATAAGTTGTTTCCAGGTCCAACTTTCAATAGAATAGCAGCCTAAAAAGATTTTAAGGTATTCGTCTGTTATATTTGCATTTAATATTTATCTATTAGTAAAGAATGAACAAATACGAAATTTTCCAAATCAAGATCCGAATTTTGAAAGACTCTTGAATTCTCCGAATATCAAATCCCTCGTGGTAAAATAATAACTAGAAAAATTTCTTTATATTAAATGTTTTACCTAGAATAAAATCTGGAATCAGTATTTACTCAAAAACAAAGTTTAAGAATACAATTTTTAAAAAGAGGGTTTAGTGTATTTCTTAAGAAGATATTTATGAAATCTACTAAACGAAGTTCGCAAATGAAACTCTTCAAGCTTGAAATTAAGATATTATTTTACATAGATTATTAGAGTAAGGTTTGAAAGTTTTTGTATTCTTAAATAATCTCTTTTACTTAATCAAGTGCAGAAAGGACAGGGAATATCTTAGAAAAATATTAAATATAGAGCGCTAAATTCTTTCTAAAAATCTATAATATGGCATTCAAGACCGCCACGAAGTGACACTGGTGAACCAAGTTTACTAAATTGCAATATTATTTTTTTAATTCGTTTAGATTCAATGAAATTAATCTTTCTAAATTTCAGTTAAAACATTTAAAGTCCTCTTATGTTAGAATTTGAAAAATCCCGACGTCGATAAATGTGCGAAGATTGGAGTGTACGAACAAAAATCTTTTTTCCATAGCCGGAGTTTCAAGTGTCCTATCTCTGTCTAATAAATCAAGAAACAATAAAATGAGTTTTAATATTATCATTAATAATATTAATAAATTATTATAAAATAATAAGATAAATATTTATCGTTTCTGAGTTTAAAGATATTTCCCTTTGTGCGGTAAATAGTAGAGCATTAATTCTTCAAAATGTTTAGGTTTCAAAAATATCAGGATTTGGATTATTCAGTTATCGCAAAGCACACGAGGGCTATCTGCCTAAAGGGAGGGTTGCCTTTCGTGGAGGACTTTCTAAGGGAAACTGGCTCGTATACACGTTACACATGAGGAAAACCACGAAAACGCCCATGCAGCCAGCCCATTCGCGGGATTCGAACCTCAGACCGAACTACCAGTGTTCAGCGTCTTTACCGCTCGGCCGCTGGTGGGCTCAAAAATATCAGAAAGAAGGAATTCTGCAGTGAGAATATCTTAAGAATTCAGTAATAATTTCAATAAGCGATAAGGTTTTTAAAGGCAATCAGAAATTAAGTCTGAAGCTAACTTTTACAATTTGTGTGGCTTCTTGTGTCTGCTGTCAGATTAAACAAAAGCGATAATTACCGATTTACAGAGGTAATATCCAAGTGTGAGCGGTCGACTAAATCAGTCACATAGGACTTTATTAGGTCTAGTAGGATAATGAATAACAGCTTCGTTAAGCAAGATCTGAAGAATTCAAATAGTTTAATTCCGATATAACAAACCTGCCAGACAATGAATTAGCCCCGTCTAATTTCTTATATACTTAATGTAATTTATTGGTGTCATAAGGAACCTCTAGAAGTATGACAATCGAATGTAACGAACCATAATGGATATCTTCGATTGAAATTTTTTGTGTGTTTTTCATATTTTCCCAGAAATTTTAAAAGTTAAATAGTTACTAACCTTTAAAATTATTCTCATTTAGAAAGTAATATTCCCCATTCCGTCTGTAAAGGAAAGCACTTTTACGTCCCTCTATTTTATTTTCACCCTCACTTTTCTCTGAGTTCTAATTTGTTCTGTAAGACAGGTGTGAACTTAATTCTAAGAGAATGGAACATACTAAACATAGCTTAAGACACCATGTGGTGTTAGTGACCACTGAATCGAAGAACACAAATAGGTTCTCTAATTCTATTCAAATTCTTTGAATGAGCTGTGAAGCACATATCTATTCAAGCCAAATGCTTTGATAGAAATTTTGAAATTTTTGAGAGAATATAATGAATTATACGAGCTTTAGGCTGTACAGTTGCTTCAGGCTGTCTGAGGAATGAAATATTTGTTTTGTTTGAGCATAAATAGTCTCCAAATTATGTTCTCCAAATAAGGATTTTACATTCTTCAAGTCTAATAAGACACATTATTCATAAAATTTATTCAGTCTATGCTTTGCCACCAGGGATAAACTTTTCTTGCAATCTGCATCCCTCCAACAGAAAATTGCAGATTGCTTTTGTACTTAGAAGTTATGTTAAAATTAAATTGATCAACATTTATTTTTATTCCTTTTAGTATTTTTATGTTACTATGGATAAAATAATTATTCATATTTTTTAAAGGATAGCTTGAGGGAAGAATCAAAGCAGTGGTATTTATGCTAAGTTATTTATCCTGTAAAATTATTAATGTATAGTGAAACTTGAAACGAAAAACCGACAAATTTAATAACTGCGTGTAATAATAATTGTAATTAAATCTCAGTAGTGCTTCTGTTTTAAATTAGATTTATTAGCCCAATATGGCTAGCAGTCTCGAAACGAGATTTTGCGTCGTACACTATAAACGACTGTATCACTTTTCAAATGGTTGCTACCCAATACTATCATCCTGTATTATTTTTAAAGAAATTAAATAATGAAGAATCTGTATGTATGTAGTACGTTCCTCGCATTGTGAAAAAACGACGGTACCATGAAACTTTTAATAACGTAGTCTTTCCTCCAATCCTGTGCACTTGGAAGCCAGAATTTTAATTTCAAATTTTGTAAAACTTTAATGAATTTTTGATTAGAAAACTCAACGATTTGAAAGCAAACATTGGCGACACTATAAGGAATAAAATATGTTTATTTCGAGCTTAAGAGATTATATATTAGAAATTCTAAAGATATGCTGTTTTTAAATATTTTGTGATTTTGCTGCTGAATTAAATTTTATATGGCGTAAGTGTGAAAAACATGATATTTAATTAATAAATTTAACAGACAAAACGTTAATTATAAAAAGGCAAAAAAAAAAGCTGACAAACCATCTTACTATTACAACAGAACATTGATATGATGAATTAAAAGACTGAAAAAAAAAAAAAAAATAGAAAAATATCATGCCCACACTTAAAACAGCAGCGGAAATTCTAAAACATGCAACGACACTGCTTTTAAACATTTTGTAATTTTGCTGTTGAACTGTATATATATTGTAAGTGCAAAGAAAATTATGTTTAATAATTAAGCTTAAAAGACTGCAAGAATTGGGCTAGCAGGAGAAATAACCTTAACAAACCCTTTTGAGAGACCGTAAAATTCTGAACCCTTTCAGATTATCTTTTTTTTTTTTTTTTTTTTTTTTTTTTAGTCACATTTTGTGTGGCAGTATTAATAGTTTTATTTATTTATCATTTAATTTTTACATGTTTTTATGAGATAATCTATTTTTCTTATCTAATCGGATCTAGGGAACCAAAATTCCGGTCCCTTGAAGATCGTCATTCCACTGTAAGTTTTGCCTGTTACTTTGTGAATAACTGCATAAAAATTTAACATTCTGGAAAATATTTATTTAATGGCAAGTCATGTTTCAAATCATGGTTACTACTCAAATCTAATTGTTGTTTTATCTATTAGGCGCCTAACAGAAGCACTATTATAAATCTTAGTTTGACTTAACAGATATATCTGTAATTCCCCTATGCAAATGCAGCAAATTTTAATTATGCATGTAATAGTACCATTTTGCTTACCTGCCAAGGATATTCACCAAATTCAGAAGCATCGTCGTGGTACTGAAGATTGTTCACTCGTCCGTGGATCCCGAATCCATTCCTTGCTCCACACTGCCCGTTATGGATTTGTGGTGGAGGATCGGAGTAATCAGGTTGAGGATATAAAGGCTTTGGTGGTCGGTGGTTGGGTGGTGGGTACACAGGCTGCGATGGGGGATAACTCGGTTGAGGTTGATATACAGGTTCTTGGGGATACACAGGCTGGGGTTGATGAGGTCTTTTCTGCGGATATATGGGTCTGATGGAACGATTAGGATTGCTTGGCTTTGGTCGGCGGGGTGGTTGATACGTAGGCTTAGGAGGCTGTGGATATGCAGGTCTTGGTCTTCTATGTGGAGGTGGTTGGGGCAATTCTTGGGGAACTAAAATGATCTGTTGCTCTTGGGGATGACCTAAAAATAATACAAGATAATTTAGCAACTTGCTGTCATTTATAATGCGTGAAAAGTAACACAAATAAATTATTTCTCGTTTTTTAGTAAAACACTAACCTTGGTTAACAATGTATGCATTGGGATGGTCTTGGTTGCCCTGGATTTGTTGGATGGTAATACCTTGAAGACCCGGAGGAAGGAGACCAGGAGGTAGTTGGCTTAAATCTCCCACTGGGTTCGGTATAGGATAGTTATCAGGACTGAATGGTAGAAGACCTCCTGGTGCACCCCTCTGAGGTACTCTGCAACATCTGCGCAAGAGGCCACAACTGTCTCCTACGTTGTTCAAACCTATGACCCTGGCCATGATGTCTTCCGTATAAGGTGCTATGGTTTGGGATTCGGGACCTGATTCTTTTGCTTCTGTCTGCAAAACGTTTTAAAATTATTATTTTCCCAAAATATTACGAGAATAAAATGTTTGAAAAAAACAATTATTTTATCTTACTGGTATTCTACCTGTCCCCTCATCTACCGTGCAGCAAACGTTATTATAAAATATGCTTAGTGTTGAGATATTTTGCAAATCTAAATCTTTAGAAAGTATTCGTTAGGATAAGTGTATCAAATGCATGAGTCAAACGGGCACAGTTTCATCAAGAAGAAAGCTCATGGAATAAAACATTCGAGAATATTACAGATGTATTCTACTTACAAGTGCTGTTTCAGCGGTCCCGCTGTAAGTCGGGTACTTTTTATATTGTTTGATATATTTGATAATATTATTATAAATCAGGCTATTATTTAACACTAATTTAAATCTTTTTAATATTACTTTTTAGCTATCGTGAGAAAGGGACGTAAGGTCTGGTGTTTTAATTCGAGAATTACTTGTACTTTAAATTAAATTCAGAATTGTTTGGCATTCAGCGAAAAATAATAAGAATTCCCACACACACACGCAAACCGTAAAGTAAGGATTAAACCTAATGCTTGAATAAAGATCTTGCACTGAATATTTGAAAACTGTAAAGTTAACGTAATATATTTATACCTGGTTTCCAGCACTTCTTTTAGACACCTTTCTTGCTGACCGTTCATCAATGGGATCCTTTTCTAGAGATCTGCCATAATTAGTGAGGTAACCATTCCTGCACAGGTAGAAAGGTACACAGATGCATTTGTCTTCTCCACCCTGGCCGTTTTCGTTGCTGAGGATGTAATTGCCGTTAGAAAGTTCATAAAGTGTTTCTTGGTCGAACTGCTTGCTTCCCGGTCGAAACTGTTTTGCAGTGGTGTCTTTTGTCGGATGTCTCTCTTTTAATGGTTCCGGTGGATAAGGACCAGCTTGAGCATACTGGACATCATCATCGTCGTCCTTGTTAGAATTAGACGAAACAATGAAATGTCCTGCCGCCTGTGATGCAGATTTTGTCACGTCTTCGCTATAGTATTGATCTTGCTGATTATTCCCTTGATACTTTTTTGAATCTTCTTGGTAAGTGGGTCGCTTGTGATATTCATCCGCAGAAATATAACGTACAAGTTCTTTCTCTGGAGCAATGATGTACCTCTGCTTATTTTGCTGATTGTTCGAATTCGAGTTTTGAGAGGGAGGAATGTAGAAATCATGATTGTTATTATTCTGATGCGCATTTTGGAGCCTTGTTCCAAACACTTCCTGGTTATTGTCATCTATAGCCTTCTCGTACCCTTTGCGATGGTTTTTCAGTGATTCAGACGAAGGAAGGTAATAGTTTTGGGACTTTGTTTGCTCTTCGTTATCGATGGGTTGAGGAGGATACGGTCCGTTGTAGTACAAATCGTCTTCTTCTACACGTTTCGGACTTTTCGCCAGAGATTTCTTACTGGGCTCGTCGTCGCTTTCCTTACCGGCAAAAGAAACGATGGGGATGAATCCTTGCAAGTTCAGTCGACGGTTCCCGGGGTCATCGTTCATTATTCTGCCTTCCCTAACGTTGCCAATAGCATCCAAGTCTAAAATTCTCGCGCTTCGTCCTCTGGAAACATTGGCTGGTGCAAAATCGTCAGAAAAGAGTTCAGCTAAACCGGCACTCCTTCCGCTGGTTGCGTTGGCTGGGAGAAAGCCATCGGAATCGAACGCCTTGGGGGAAAATATCTGGTTTTCTGTTTTATTACTTGAACCATTGTCAGTAGAAGTGTCCGAAACTGTAGAAGGTGTCGTAGAGCTTGCGTTCTTTGGCGATAGTTCATCTGCAGTTTGTGAATCTGTTGCATCTGTGGTTGAGTTCCAGAACCATTGTTTTGGTGTTTCTTGAGTACCTAAAAAAATAATGGAAATTTGTAAACGTGAAAGGTGCTCATCCACGTGATAGCAAATGAATATAGCAATTTAATAACAGCAGCTTTTGAAATACATGTATAATGATTTTAATGAGCCCAGGGAATGTCATTTCAAGGTTCGAAGTAGCAGTAAAGAACAATAAGAGATGAAGAACGGAGAGATGAAGAGAGATGAAGAAAGATATTGATTGTAAACATTACTTTACAATCAATAACAGATTATTGAATTGGAAAGAAAAGTTAAATAGATTATTTGCCGAATGGCAATGCAATAGCGTGTTGGATAAAAATATTTTTGGGGGATGCTACTGCACATTTCTATTAAATCGCCAAATTTGTTCATTAAGTCTGAAAGATAAATATTTTGCTCTTTGCTGAGTGGCAATGTAATTCTTTTAAATTGCTGAGCTTTCGCATTAAATTTGAAACATAAATATCTTGTGCCTTGCTGAATGGTAACAAGTTGCCTTTAAATGAATTCTTTGATTAAATTGGAAACATAAGCATTTTATGCTGTGAAACATAAATATCTTACACTGTATTATTATGTAAGAATTCTTACACATTAATTTTTAAATAGTTATCTTTATTAGTCAAAAATTCATTAAGTTCACAAAAACAAACATAGAGAAAAATAACTGAATTTTTCAGATTTATTTATAATTCAGATTTATTTTCAGACTTTATATACAAGAACGCGCAACCGGGCGTGTATTTTTTTTTAATAATTTAATGACACATACACGTTTTGAGATCATTTGAGCCAACGCCCCGTTGGGCTAAAAATATTTTAAAACAGCATATCTTTAGAATTTCCTATAGACAGTCTCGCGCACAGGAGATATAAATGTTTTATACCTTACTGTGTTGCCACTGCTCTCTTTGAAATTGAGTTTTTTTAATCAAAGATTCGTTAAAGTTTTACAAAACATGAAACAGACAATAAAACAAACTCCAAATTTCAGATTCGGTCTTCCAGGTACCCATGTTCGGGTGGAGGACTATGTTATTCAGACTTTGATGAGTCTAGGTACCACTGCTTTTACGCAATGCGAGAAACATAAGTACATCCATGTAGATTCTTCATTATTTAGTTTCTGTAAATATAATATAGGGCGATAATATTTGGTGGCGACAATTTGAAAAATAATACAGCCGTTTATATTAATGCCTTTTCGAGACTAATAGCTCTTCTAGGCTAATGCCCATTTAGGCTAATAAATAAAAAACAAATTCAAAATTCAGGTTCAAAAGGACACATATTCGGATGGAAGACAACGTGTGTTTAAAATTTGATGGCTTTGCCGTTCACATATGCTTGCCGAAAGAAGTGACTAACATTTTTATCGTTGCAGTATCATAGATGCAAATTTCCTACGAAACTTTTATTTGTACTTACCACTTTCAAACTGGGAGACAACTGCTGTCACAGAAACGACTAAACAGAGAGCCACAGCAAGAATTGACCTCATCTCTTTGGTTTTAAAGACCAGGTAAAGCCTGTAAAGAAAATAAATATGGATATAAATTCTTCGTAGGGTATAAATTTTTCAATATTTTTTTGGTCGTCTTTGAAATTAGATATTTAAAAAAAAGTTAGAACAAAATTAAAGACACTTTCCTAATAAATTACAGCATTTTAATGAAAACAAAATGAATGAGCAATGCAAAAGAGTTGCATTCCGAAAACTTCAGCTTAAAGCATTCAAAAGAAACTTTTACATTAAAAATTTTAACAAAATTATTAAATATTAGTTAAATATTCACAAAATTATTAGAAATTAAAGAAAATTATAAACTTAAAAACATTTTTATATTTATCATAAAAATATTCGCTTTCTTTTAGAATAAAAATAGCATCTACTTTTGGCAATTTTCAGAACTAAATCTTTATCTCACAGAGATACGTTGATAAACGTCCGCTGTGAAATATATGTCTTGTGTGAAAGCGAAAATTTTGTTTGGAATATATTTCGAATTGGATGATTCCCGGCAGTTCGCATTACACTTTTTTACATCTTTCGAGACAATTCTACGATCGTTCATGAGCGTCAGTATGCGTGTTGCCACTGTTCATTTAACAGTCAGAGTTTTAACAAGTGATTTTTATAATTTTCGAAATCAATGTTTTGTAAATTCAATAACAACGAGTTTCAGGAAAGTTAGTAAAAACAACGAAGAAAATTGTTAGGATCATCATGGAAGTAAATAAACTGATTGTTGAAAATGAGGAAGATAAAGTGCGTATCCTAGATTTCGTTATTTCATGCTGTATATGCCGAGTAGAATGGTATTTATGATTGCGGAAAACAAAGATGGCGTTAAATCGGCTATCGTTGCGAAGGGGTGAAATAACAGATAGCAAACAAAGGTCGAAGACGTTATAAAGTGTTGAAAATGCTTTTGATATGTACAGCAGAAAAACTTTTATTTACAAAATTATGTGCATTGTTTTATTTATGTACAGTATACATTTCATACATTTGCGCTAACCATAATAATAGCTAGGGCACCACGAATTCATACTACTCTACTTTTGAGAATTAATACTATTTTGTAGTAATTAATGAGTCATATGTTATAAACGGTTCATTAAGATAGCTAAAAATTACTAATATTTACTGAGTTTTTAAATTTATATATTTATAATTTTGCTTAATATGTTTCTATATATTATTTTATTAATTTCTACATATTTATTAATATTTATATATAAACTATATATATTACTAATATTATATATATAAGTATATTAATTATTAATTGTATTAGTATTAAAATATTAATTAATACTAATATAATATAATTTTTTAGTTTCTATATATTAATTAATACTAGGAAGACTAACATTATTAGTTATTCAAATGTAACTTCAGCGATTCTCCTTTAAGTGAGATCAAACTCAAAATGAATTTTATTTTCAAAATTAGTTGAGTTTGAAACATATATTGTCTGACCTAAATCAGCTTTCAACTGCAAGCGAAGAAATCGAACAAAGCGCTCACATGACGATTAATTTGAACTACAACTTCGAATGACGTGGAGAAAATAAATGCTTTGCTTGTGATGACGATAGACGTTATGATCGCAAATGGGAAAGGGGCGGCCAACAACTGCCTCTAAGTACTTATTTTATAGTATCACACTATAGCTAGGTATGTTATCGCTTACAGTGAGAGAGCATGCATGGGGGCTACTCTTAAAGGACAAAAGTGGAGAGCTACGAAACCTAGTCGACTAAATCTAAGCCGTTACATATCATCCACCACATATTTTAGTTCGAGGCACCGCTGTACGAACATTTAGGATTTGGGGGAGGGATATCTTAGAAAGCTACTAAGCACTCGACGAGATTCGAACAACAAATGCTTCATCTGATGGCTGAATGTTGAACGACTAACACCACTACAAAACCTGCTAAAGTATATCATCGCTAAAAATCATAACAGTGATTAAAAGCGACGTGTTGCCACTCGGCAGATTGTAAGAGCAAACAACACAAGTCTTCCCGATTAAATTAACAAATTTAGAGATTTAAATTAAATATGTTGCCCCTGCCGAAATAATTTTTCACTTCCCCTCGCCAGTGTGTTCCATTACTGATTAATTATCTATAGCCGCTCAGAGAACGATTAACTACCTATAGCTTTTCACAAATACTACAGAAAATATAACGCTCAATAAAACCCATCGGCTGCGGAGCAAAAGCTGCAATAGTTATACCTTAAAGATAAATTTCGTTCTTCTAAACTATGCTGTTTAGCACTGAATTTGCTTACATTTTTTGGTTTGAAAGAATATAGTGCCAAGAGCTAAGAAGGATAGGATAGAGTTTTAACTGCATTCTTAACCGTTAGTAAAAATAATTCTCAGATTTGTACTAATAATACTAATAAAGTCCTTTGATAATTTTTAAAAACATTAGTAAAATTTGAAGTATTTTCAAATTCATCAGGTAAAAGATTAACAAAATTAAGTATTGCGTCAGATCATCAACGTGGAACCGTCATAACAAAGCAAGTTTGAATAAAAGTGCTCAAAAGGGAAAAATAAGTATCCGTAATTGAGTTCATTCTGATTTGTTTTTGCCGAAAATTTAAAGCGGCTGTTCAATGACCATTTGTGCCTGTTTAAATTTCTTCGGACTCCCTACTAAGCGAGACAGAAATGCTCCCAATTCTTCTGAAAAATATGTTAAATCTTGCTTCCCCCGCTCTTCTGAAAAGGAAGATCCGCTCAAAAACCCACCTTATGTGAGTTGCAACATCGTCACCATCCCTCGCTTTGACCTATAAATAGTTACGCAACTGGGTCAAAAACAAGGACTCTTTCCAGTTTTGGAAAGTTTGTTGACTTCTTTCTCTACCTGTGATTTCTTTTTCTTCTTCTTTTGAAGAAGTTGGTTGAGAGTCGACAGGTGACAATGAAATTGAGATGAATCTGGTTCTATATCCAGCTACTATAGTAACAAAAATTTCAGGAAAATCTTAAATAAAGTACCTGTTTAACTGAGATTATGATCGCTAAAATTCCAGAGAAGAAATAACGAACGGGAATCATTGACGTTAGTGAAAGTTTTTCAAAGACTTGTAAATAATATATGTATAATGATTTTAATGAAATTAAGTAATAGCGGAGTTGAAGAATTGCGTATATTGCTTTTAAATCTTTTAGTAACAATCATTAACAAACAAAATTCAATTGTAAAGAAAAAATAAATACCTTACGCTTTGCGGAGCGGCAACATATAGGCAGAGGAATGATAAAAGATATTTTACTTCGGACCATGGAAACACATTTTTTTTTTTTTTAAATAGTCCATAGGGTACACACGGTAGGTAGCTAAATACTGGTTATTTTTAGACCTAGGCTCGATTCCAGGCAGAAGTGTTTTGCTGTATGACAGTTTTCGTGGGTTTCTCTATGCCTAATGTAGATACTAGCCAGATTCCTTTAGAAAGTCTTCCACGAAGGTACCTTTTCCTTTAAGCAGACAGTCTTTGCCTGTATTGCCATAATTAAATAAAACAAACCAAAATTTAAATCGCCAAATTTATTGACTAAATTTGAAACATACATATCTTTTGCTGAGTGGCAGCACATTGCTTTTAAACAGCTGAGTTTGTTAATCAAAATTCATTAAGCTCTCAAAAAATGTGAACTAAATTTAAAAAAAAAAAAAAAAAAATTGGGCTTTGGGGTGGATATGTTCGAAAGGAGAACTGGATGCGTTGCAAATTTGATGGCTGATTTGATGTATTATGGTTTTTCGACAACGCCAGGAACAATCAAAAATACATATATACATACATGCTTTATATATATTCTTCATTATTCAGTATAAGAAACTTTTCGCTTACATAATTACATAAGTAACTGATATGAATAAGCATATGGAGCGTCGGAATTATATTTATAAATAAACCCAAAAATTCGTTAAATGGCTTCATTGTTTTAATATTTCACGCGTCATATTTTATTCGAAAATAAGACTCTTCGAATATAAGGGTTTCTTTACATTGTATATAATACATTTTTAAAACATAAAATAATTCATTTTGCCTTGCAATCATTCTCAGGAGAGAGAAGAAACCTACTTTCACTCCTCCGTTTCCTTTTCTTTAAATAACAATACCGTTAGCTGTGGCGTCTGAAAGACTATCATTTTTTAGAAGAAATATAGAGCAAAACAAAGGAGTCTTAACAAATTAGGGACAATTCAATAGCATTTTAATCAGATCCTTATATATTGCTTTTCGTTCTCGAGCGTTCGCAACATCACCAACGTGGAACAGAGTACATAAAATTGACATTTAACAACTTCATCTAGAAAGGCTTGACGGCTGCCCAGCGGTGAAACCGCTGAACATTACTAGTTCGACTCGGGTTCTTTTCTCTGCAAACGACCTGGTTGTTTGAGAGTTCAACTAATATCTTCGTTCGGCAAAATGTAAGATATTAGTTTTCGAGTTTTTATCAACAAATTCCTCTATTTGAAAGCAATGTGTTGCCACAACCTGAAATAAAATACTTTTGTCTTCTACGCTCCAGCGTGTTATCATTCAGTAAAGCGTAAGATGTTTAACTTTCAGATTTAACCTGTTTGGTGTAGTGTAATAAACTAAGGGATTTTAAAATCAATAAACGTAGTTCTAAAGAATATTTTTCTACTTTTGAATTTGATGAATTTCAATAAAAATGCATTTAAATCACGAGATGTCTAATTAAAAATATAAAATACTTTTAGAAAAGGATACTGGCTGGACTCGTTAAAATCATTTTATATATTTTCTTTTTTTTTTTTTTTTTTTTTTTTTTTTTTTTTTTTTTATGATGACTATTTCACGCGCTGGCCGCGCAAGCGGCTAATCATAATAAATATACAAATACTATCTTTACAAAAGGCCGTAAGAAATAGACAATGTTACAGTAATAATATTAAAGATAATTTTAAAATAAAAATAAAGAGACCAGCGAATGAAGACCATAAATAGATTAGC